GTGTTTAATAAAAATTTCTCACGGTTTCATTTATACTCCAGTATTCCACTCCTTTTTGCATTTTCTACAAGTTATTTAAATAAATTATGTAATACTCCGCAGTCTGCAATATTCTTTGTTGAACTTGTAATTATTATTATCTAGCTATTATTCCAAGGGTTATTGATTTTCCTCAACATTTATTTGTTTACACTTCAATTTCCTTATTTTATTTCTTACTAAAAATATTTTTTATTTAGCTTGCGAATATTCAAGAATTTTCCACACTATAAATTTTCCAAACTGTACTCAGCAAATGTCAAAATGTGACTGCTGAAATAGTTGACAGCGCATAATAATATCGGTTGGCATCGCAAGATGCCAAAACCAGTTTCGCTGATACGGGTTGGAAATGCAACACTTTAAATCGCGTTGCCACTCCACTAAATATATTTCGTCGATGTTGTTTTTCAATAGGAATCGAAAAAATGGTAAAAATTATTCTATATAAATTTTTAATAATTATCGAATCAGGAAGTGACATTTACTAAGTATTCGTTGAAATATTTATAAAATGAAATAATTTAAATTTCTTCTACGATTTCATTTTAAATTTATTTTCGTAAATGTTGATTTTGAATTATGTCCCTACCGAAATAACTTCTTCAAGAATATAATCTTTAAAATATGTCTAAATTTAAATAGATACTAATCTGCGACACATTTGGAACGAATAGTTTTAAATGAAAATATATTTATAAAAGCATTTATCTGGGGTTTAGCACAGTCACATACTTATACCAAAATTAACAACGGTTGGTTACTGTGATCAAATTGAAAGGTTAAATTTTAATTTATACTTTCTATGTTTTTCGAATAGGTAAACTTTTGTTTCTGTAAGTTGGTAGTACTGTTAGTGACATCTATGCTAAATTTCACGTAATAATATTCATTAGCATTTGAGCCTCGTTTTGTGAGGCTCTAAATGAAATTGATTCTTCAATTCATTCATTATGTCTGAATTTACTGAACAAAAATGTATCGCCAAACTACAGAGCCGCAACAAAATCCTGAAGTCGCTAGCACAAGGGGAAAAGACAAAGAAACGTTGTTGGCAACGTCGCCTGGATGCAGTGGTACGCAGATGAGGAAACTTCAGACCTGCCAGAATACTGCATTCTAGACCACGACGTGATGCCTTTTGATGTCTCTCATAGAACACCTCGACAGTAGCTCCCTGTAAAGGAGCATAATGAACTCCTCTACAAGCAGTTCCTAGGATATTTTCGCAGGAATCACCCTTGTAGCCATCTGCTTGGAGCGGAACCGCCTCCAATGAGCATCAAAAGGTCTTTCCTTGACTACGTCGACGACGTCGTACAGTAGAGCCTGACAAAACGACGCAACTGACTTTCAACAGGTTCTGACCGCCATTCACAGTGGAGCCATCAACACCTTCACCGACTCCCTTCCCGTGAACGGCGTTCTTGGAGTCAAATCACTACCTATCGCAGACGAAGAGCTCCAGTTGCCGCGGGAAACGCGAGTGACCCTAGCGCAACTTCGTTGTAGATATTGTAGCCGGTTAAACTCCTACTTATCCAGAATTGACCCTGACATACCCAATGTATGTCCTGCATGTAACGAGTCCCCTCATGATACTGGCATGCCCTACAAACCCGACTCATCTAACACCCTCCTGCCTTTGGTCCGACCCCGTTGAAACAGCACGTTTCTTGGGCCTCCCGTTAGATGACCTCGACGACAACGCAAATGACCCTTACCACCCTAGCGTGGACTAGATAACCGTTGAAACAACAACAACAACAACAACAAGCTGTTGCATAAAGCTTTTGGAGATCAAACTCTGTTTTCTAAAAGTGTTTATATGTGGTATAAAAAGATCAAAGCCGGTCGTGAGAGTGTTCTGGCTGTTTAGCGAACTCAAGAGACCACTCCGAGGAAATCTCGAGGGGATTACTTTAAAGGAGATGAAATGGATTTACAAGAATAAATAGATATTTTAGAAATATAACAAAATTCCTTTCAATTGATCACAATAGTATTTTCGATAATTGATCCCATAGTCCATCTCCAGAATAATCTCCGAAAAATTGTGAAAAACATTTTTCTGTCTAAACTTTATTCGAAACCAAAAATATATATACTTTTAAAAAATTATAAATTTTCTTGAACCCGTAGACAATCTCCAGAAGAGTAAAGGTGGTCTGGCGAAGAGAAAGATTTTTCTGTTTATTTTTATTTTAGAAATAATCTCAAAAAATGTTCCTTATAAAAGCAGTCCACATTTCAGAGTGATTTCTTAACCCCTTAAGCAATCTTTAGTCTTGCAACTGAAAATTAACCATTAGAAATAAATATATACAATATCATCACTCATTCGTTTTTATAACCATTTTTTATTTCGTCTGTATAAATATTATCAAAAACTTTATTTTATATGTAAATCACTTTTTGTATATTTTATTTAATACATACATACTCATGATTATTTATGTATATGCAATTATGTTTGTAAAATGGTTTGCTATTTGAAAATCGGCAGGAAAGCATTAATGTTGCCTCGTAAGAAACTATGATTCTCATAGTATATGTATGTATGTATGTATGTATATAGAAAATGTAAAAGTGTAGAAAAGAAAACAACTAAGAATTACAATCGCATTTATTGAAACACATTCCATAACAAGGCATTTTTAGCAATATAAAAAGTACACAAAATAATAATATAAAAATAACGTAAGAAGAGAGACATTTTAGAACAAATTAAATATTTTTAAAATAACATAATATGAATAATTAAAATTATAAAAAATGAGACAAAAAAAAAAACAAATAATGNATAAAAAATGAGACAAAAAAAAAAACAAATAATGTTCACATAAAATAAAAAGAAATTAGAAAGTATACAAGTTTCGAGGAAACATAAAACATACCAATATCTCAAAGAAAAGTAGTAAATAGTAGCTTTCTTAATTTACGTACATACGTATACATAATTTATTGGTTTGACTGGACCTTGTCATGTTCTCCACAAGCAGCAAGCACTTTTTTTAGTATGAAAGCTAGATTTTAGGGCTTGCAAAATTTGCCAATGAAATAAGTTAAGTTTACCTGCTCATATTTATTTGCTTCTCCAGCAGAAACATTTTCTTCACACACTTTATGATTTTTATTCGCTTAATATAAAATTTACAAGGTTCTTGTTTTAAGTTTTTCAGTTATCAAAAATTTCTATATAAATATATATTATTATGTTAATTAGTTATGCTTGTCGCATACTTTTAGTAGTAGTTTGCTTTATGCTTTACATATGTATATATATTTTTTGTAATTATGTAAGTATATGTATATATATTAAAAATACATTATTAATTTGGCATAAATTTTGTATAAGGACGACTCGCAGCATTAGACAGACAGCAGAAACATGAAAATATTCACGTTTGCAGTTTCGACATTTCTTTCGATCTAACCATTTACAATGGTGGTTTTTAGATTTTATAATTAAATTTTTTATATTCAAGTCTCTGCTAAAGATGAACTCCGTGTTTTAGTAGTTTGTAAATTCTTTTTGGTTAGTTGTTCTCCTTTGAATTTGTTCAGTGGCGTTATTTTTCAAACTATTTAGTTTTGTGAATGAATAAAAGCAAATAATTGAACGATAAGAATGCACAAAACTTGTCATATTACAATTTGTTAAAAAAAAAATAAATAAATAAAATTCTAAAATTTTTTGTCAACAAACTTTGTAGTTTTAATAATAAAGCAGACTGCAGTTTAAAACTGAATATGACACCAAAAAGTGAAGTTTTTGCGTTTATATTTTTTCAAATAAATCTAAATAACGATTGTGTATTGATTTGTACTGAAACTAGTTAATTTGGTAAGAAATTCCGCGCACGCAACATTTGTAGTTCAATTATTCGCCTCATTTTAGTTCAATTTATGCATTTTTGTATTAAGAGTTATTAATTAATCATAATCATTTGTTTAAATCTTTGTTACGCATGCGCGTTGTTATCCAGCATGCAGCATTTTCGTAGYAAACATTTGTTTTCAATATGCGCGTAAAGCAACAACCGAGTGTAAATACATGTAGTGTAGTTATGTATCTTTATTTTGTAAGGTTATTTTACAACGCGAATATTTGTGAGCTAAAAAGGCAGCAACGGCGGGAGAAAAACACACACATGTGTAAGCAACTAATTAAAAAACGTTCACTATATTTATGATAAATGTACAAATAGTGTGGTTAATAGTTATACGTATGTGTGTAAATTGGTTTTAAGTGCGCCATTTGAAGTCAGTCTGAACCATTTCATTAGTTCCACGTAGCCTGAAAGATTTATATTTTATATTTTGCAATGAATTCAAATGAATTAAAAAGTTTTAATTTTATTTAGGTCTATAAGTGCATATTTTTAATTAACAGTTAATTTTAGTTTTGTAGCAGAGAGTGTGTGTAGTTTATATAAAAAATAAATTCAACTAACTATACGAAATGACTTTGCTATTCAAAAGCATATAACCATTCGAGGCGTTATTTTGCTTAACTGAAAGTGTGCGCACTTAAACAATGTGTGTGATTAGTCGTCTACTTAAAGCACTCTGTTTTACCATTACTAAAAAGAGCTTGCATTATGTATAAATAAAAAAAAAACAATACATATCAAGTTATAACTACTCTTTTTACAATGGTAATTTACTAGTTTTCGGTTTGCTTTATTTTGCGTTGTTGTTTTTTAGTTACAGACAATTTTTAACAATTTTCTAACAAGTTTCCTCTTTTTATATAATTTCTTCTTTTTAATAGTTATTTGCGATTTACTTTTTATGGTCTAACTAAAGCACATTTATACTGATTTTCGTTAGGGCGAGCGTGTGTGTATTGACAATTTACAAACAATATATGTATATATATATAATTTTTTTAATTTTATTTTAAAATGTAATAATGAAAATGTATCTTTCTGGTTTTCATAAAATTAAAAAGGTGGAAAAGCTATTTATATATTATTTTAAAAATAAATTAAAAAATCGATAAAATAATATTAATATTAATACAAACGAAACGTATTTTGAATCGATAAAGCGTCGCGCAGCAAGTTTAATTAAAAATAGTTATATATAAATTTAATTAAAATTCATCGTCGTTCGCGGCAGTCGGATGACTCTGATCGTTTGCACTGCTATTATCGTTGCTCTCCTTTTGCGCGCCGCCATCCGTGGCCGCTTTGGACGAAGAATTGCCATTGCCGGCAGTGACGGGCGCCGCCGCTGGTCGCGAATCGGTATCGTCGCCTTCTTGTGCGCGCACAGCCGCCTCCAGCGCGCGTATACGATTCTCATGCTTCACAATGATCGCCTTCAATTTGCGTATTTCATCGGTGATATCGCGCAGATCCTTTTCCTGCAAACAAAAAAAATTTAAAAAATTATTTCAGATTGTTTTCTTATTTTCTTGTGTTCGTATTTTGTTTATTTGGTTACTTACACTGACACCGCTCACAAAACCGGACCCGCTCGATGCATTGTTGTTATTCGATGTCGCATGATTACCACCAAGCGCTGCGCTGCTCGCACTCTTCGAGGTGCCCGCTGAGGCCTTATTGAGGATGTTCGCCTTCTTTGTCACCGACAGCGACTTGTTGGCCGATTGTGAGACATAGCCACCCTGTACAATAGAGACACGATCCTATTTAAGCGTTTTAGCATTACTGTTCCGCTCGCTATGTGAGCGGAGGATTTGGAAATAAACAAAGAACACAACGAAAACACAACAACGCCGCAAAACGTGCGAGTTAGCGGTGGTGATGATGGCGATGAGATTAACTAAGAAAGTTGTGGAATGTATGTGGATGGTATGATGCATGCGTAGTGAAAGTTTCCATGAAAACGGATGTTTCTTCGTATGTAAGCTTGCATGCATTGATGCCTGCTTTGCACGTGATTTGAAAATGTTTCTAATATTTCTAAGATGTGGAATGTATGAATTCGAAGCTTTCCTTGATTTTATATGTATATGTATGTATGTATGTATATTTTTGTATTGCATGTTAATGCATGAAATAATTTTTTTTTGTTGTAAATTTTTTATGTTAATATTCTCTTAACATCTTGTGATTGCTGGCAGCAACAACTAAAAAATAAATATGCTTAATTTTGCATTTTGTGTAGTATATGCTGTGAGTGGTGTATAGCGCAGTTTAAATAGCATTGAACAATTGAAATGTTTTAATTCGAACAGTAAACAAATTCTTTCAAAAATTTCGAAGAAAAATATAACAAATATTAGTCATTCAAACAAGTCAGTCAGCTGTTGGCAGCCATTGAACAGAACCAAACCGTAAATGCAAAATACCAAACGCACAAAGTTTTAAATTGGAATACAGATTTTTAAAAATCATATCGTATAGAATAATGCATATTAAAAAATACAGATCCCCAAATCACTTGAAGATATATTGTTAACTAAAAAAGTTTTCCATACAAGAATTTGACCTCGATCGTTCTATTTGTATGTAGTTTAGCGGTTCGATATCGGCGGTTCCGACAAATGTGTAGCTTCTTGAGGGAAAAATGACGTGTGCAAAATTTCAAATCAGTATTTCAGAAACTGGTGGACCAGTTCACATATATACAGACTGACGGACGGACAGAGAGAGAGAGAGTGGCTAAATCGACTCAGTTCATCACGCTGATCAATTATAAATATTATTTAGAAGGTCTACAACGTTTTCTTCTGTTACAAACAAATTATTAAATTTAGAAAAGTTTGGATTTTTTAATGAATGAATACACAATGAATGCACTACATTTTTATTGTTATTACACATATTTTAAAAAAGTCGAAGAGCAAATAAAATGTTTTTTGATGTCGTACTCGACACAACCCTTGGCATTAGCTTTCCATTCGTTTACATCACCGGATCGTTTTTATCACCGAAACAAAAAATTAAACCGAAAAAAATATGTCTTGGCACTAAGCCCATACCGTTTATGTATTCCAATTTTATAATTCACTGACACACTCTACACACAATACACTTACTTTTAATGAAAATGTCAATGGTTCGGCATCATTTCCCGCAATCCAATCCTCGGCAGTTTGTGCCGCATCTTCGGCTAAGGTATCCGGATACAGATCCTCTTGGAAGAGATCCGATTTACGCGGCACTGTCATCGAGATCACCTGACACAAGCCGTTATTGTTTAGCCGGTAGAATTTAGCTATTTCGCAGGTTGTGACATCGCAGCCACGCTTTGGCATCATGCCAATACCACGTTGGGGATCTGGCGTTTGAAATGTGTTGATGTAATGTACGAACGGTGGCTCGGGCGTTATCTACAGTAGAAAAAAGAAACAATAACCAAAAATTAATAATTAATTTTTTTATTTTTATGAATTTGTGCAATTACCTCAAAGTAGCGTATAACTGAATCGCCTTTACCGCAAAGGTAAATCAAATTCGTGTCCGCATCGTAAAGTGGGAACATCACACCGTTTGATGTGTCCAACTCCACCATGACGATGGGTTCATTAAGAGCATCAGGTGCGCGCAGCGAATACTGACGTTCCGATGAACGATTGAAACCGGTGGTGAAGATGAGACCATGTCGCAGGAAGATGGCACGCGTTGCCTTCGAACCTTCGTGACAAAGTGCTTCGCTTTCGATTTCACCGTTACGTGGATCATAGATACGTATCTTTTTATCCTTACATGTGGTCACCAATTTCGAACCGTCCCAGTTGAAACATGCACTATATACAACATCCGGATGCGAGTCGATGTGTACGAGTATTTCACCAGTACCCACGTTCCAAATGACAACCTATATGAAGAACAGAAAAGTTGTTATGAGTTTGTATATCACATAAAGGTTGTTTCATTCTTTAATTTTTTGTTTAATGTTTCTATGGATGCCTATACTGAGTCATCCGCTTGTAAAATGGAATAGAATCAAACTTTCGACATGTCAATAGAGTCTTTCCTCACAGGAGTCACCAGTGGCTAACAGAAGCATATTTTTGAATATTTTAATTTTTTGGTCGGTCTTTCAAAAAACACAAAAAAAAAATTAAGAAGATTAATTAACACAAAACCGTAACTAGTAACCATCTGATCAAATTTGACCCGGACTGACACACCAAAAATATTTTTTCATGTATTTTAATATAAATATTTCTAAGAAACTCAAAAATAGGGTCCTGAGTCAGTACACGCATGTCAACGTTTAACCAATTTCCTATACACTTATTACATGTAAGCCAAGCTAGGATGACCTTTTTTCGGTTTTAACTAATTTTAGCAGAGCCATAGGCTAAATTGTTCGACAGAGTCGACGTCACATTCATAACCCCATAACTCGTCATCAGTAATGATGCGTTAAATGAATGTAGCATCTTCAGCTGAAGGCTACGTTGTCAAGAATCTCATTTTCAATTTCTATTCGACTCCGTTTTGTTCATTCAGCCGTTTTGGTAAGAGTCTAGTATTGACAGGCTTCATACACAATATATTAACCAACATGTGTTGAGTCATTCCGTAAGAGATGTTGAGATCACCTGCTATCCCTCTGAAGTACATAATTGTATTCGTGATAAAGTAGATTCCCCAAAATATTTCCAACAATTGATGAATTGTACAAAATTGTAGTAAGCCCGAGTCAAATTTGATCATGGTATCTGGTATTTAGTTATTTATCTGTCATATTCAATTAACCAATATTTATTTTTTAATTACTAAATACTTTTTCCTTCTAAATTTCAAAGAAACCCCGTCCGGGTCAAATTTGATCTTATGACATTTAATTATTTATCTGGCATATTCAATTATATCTTTTTTAATTGCAAAATTGTTGTCCTTCCTAAATTTCAGTTAGTGACCGTAAAATCAAACTGTTTTGTGATTTTTTTTTCGATGCTCGCAAGTTTTACTTCTATAATATTTTCCATTTTCTTCTAACAAGTACTGAACATCACTATAAAAAACTCCCTAATGTTTCTCACACATTTTCACTTTTTTCGTTGAAATTTTATGAAATCCATCTGATCTCCCCTAACTTTACAAACTTGAGCACAATTATATTCAATTAGCCTCACCTGATTGTCCGAACCCGCCGTCAGCAGCACATTCAATGCTGATGGATGCCAAAGCACAAGACCGACACGACGTTGATGGAACACCAAATCGACAACTGGTTCGGTGAGTGTGCGTGACAGACCACCATCGGGTATTTGCCAAACCTTAACCACACAATCCTCAGAGCCGGAGGCGATGACATTGTCATTGTGCGGACACCAGGCAATATCTAGAACGGGACCTTTATGGCCACCCACCAATGGATGATCGGCAGCTATGCGACCAACCTGCAAACATAAAATATTTTAAGTGTTATAAGTTAATATAAATAATAGAAAAATAAAGTGTCAAATAAAAGAAGTGAAAAATAACATTAAGATTATACATATTTATTTTTATAAAAATAAAAAAAAACGAAAGCGAACAGCTGAAAGTATTCTATTTTTGCATATGAGTGTCAAATTAATTACATCTTTACACCCGCGTAAATATGCTTATATTCATACATACACATGTACGCATGTATGTAGGTAGTCGGCCCGTGTGACGCTATGTCAACCTCATTTCCTAATTTCAGTCCGCACATCGCATATTTCATTTTCATTTACGCTCTTCAAGTGCGCCGCTCTATTTTTGCCGCAACTCTCTTCAATGTTTATTTGTATTTTATGTGGATTTCACATTTTCAGTGTTTTCATATTTTCGTGAAAAGTAAAAATGACATAGTCGTCGAGCCACCGATTGCCACACCAGCACAATTCGCATTCGATATTTATCACCTGCTGTGAAAAACACTCCTTGCCGCACGCAAACTTGCTTGCTGCTCACGTCACATCGGTTCAATATTTGCATATATACATATATATACGTATTAATAATATATATGTATAAAGTATATTTATGTATATATATTTCAGGAGCTTGTGCTCGTAAATAATAGCAATGTGCCGTGAAAATGCGTGAAGCAGGTGCTCAGACTCATTCAGTGAGATTTGTAATAGCTACCAAGCAACGAAACCGAAACACCTGACAGCCGGTCATTAATAGCATTAAATTTCGAACTAAATACATGCACACACATATGCACATATGTTTATTTATTTGTTTATTAGCACAGGTTTATATTTGATAAATATATTAATTTTTTATGCAGATTAAGAAGCGTTTTATAAATTCAATGACTCCTAAATGCCATAAAATACATACTTTAACCGATTTGAAAGTACTAACCAAACTAGTTTTTTGTAACATACACGAAAATTTATATAGACGAGAACTGCAATTTAACATTTACGCTTTTAGTCTTTTATCATATTAGAAATGCGTTCTATTTAAAACGCATCTAACTAACTACATAAGGGGGTTTTCCAATTATGTAGCACTTTTAACAGATCAATTTGCTATAATATTTATGGAGTTTGCTATGGTAAATATAATGAAGAAATTATGCCAATGAATTTTTACATTTCCAAAGAGGAAGAAGTGGCAGTGAGGCAAATTCCACATTTTCAACACTTGCTTCATTATTTTGATGAAATTTCTCAACTTTTTATTAATTTTCAATTATTCAATGGCTTCAACATTCAATTTTGCGAATATCATAAAAAATAGTAATAAACAGAAACAGCTGATCGCATAAGGCAAACCAAAGCAATAATGAATATTTTTCAGTGTTGTGTTGACATGAGAAAATTATAAAAAAAAAATATTTTTCTATATTTAATTTAGAAATTACGGGAAATAAATTAATACTTAAAAAGTATGTAAGCAGGTTAAAAATAACAAAATGTTTTTCAACAACACTTGTATCCAAATCAAATCAATCATTAAAACATTTAAAAATAAATTGCGGCAAACGATGGATTAGCAAGCTTCTAAGTATTAAAGGAAAGTAATATGTATTTAAAGAGATGAATTGACAAAATAGCAGTTTTTCAAAATGGATTTTTGTATAATAACGGGTGACCCAAGTAGAGGTATTTTTTTTCACGGATGATTTCATGTTATTTTTGTTCAGCATTGTTTGGCATTTCATCATGGAGAGACTTATGCCTGAACAACGTTTACAAATCGTTCAACTTTATTACGAAAATTCACGTTATGTAAAGACTGTGTTTCGCACGCTTCGCTCAACTTAAGTTCAACATAATCAGCCTACTGAGCGTACTTGCGCATCGTATCACCCATCCTAAGATCCCGCATTCATTATTGGATAACGTTCGACCGAATAGACCACGTCCGGCACGTAATGAAGAAAATATTGTAAAACATCCGTAATTGAGAGAGTACACGATGGCCGTGGAGAGTTGATTCGGCGCCGTTCGCAGCAACTCGGATCTTAAATTGAAAGCGTCCAAAATACAGCTTGTGCAAGCACTGAAGCCCCTCGACCTCTCCAACGACTTCGCTTCGGTCTATGGGCTTTTGAAAAGTTCCAAGAAGATCCGACGTTTTCGAACCAAATTTTGTTCAGCGATAAGACTACTTTCTGGCTCAATGGTTATGGAAACAAGCAAAATTGTCACATTTATTACGAAGAGCAACCTGAAGGGGTTTAAAAGCTGCCATTTCATCCAGAAAAAACAACGGCTGTGGGTCGGTGGAATCGCTGGTCCAAATTTCTTCAAAAATGATGCCGAACCTCAAAATGGATCAGCCTTTATAATGTTTATATGTATATTATTATACATATTGTATATCACAATTATTACTTTTTTATGTATTTTTTAATTAAAATATAATATTTTGCTCTTGATATTTGACTCAATGAAAGTAGTGCTTATATGTTTAGTATCGGCAATATGCAACACATGTGTAGTCAACAATTTACTACAGAGCAAACAACAACAAGAAAATATTTTAAGGAAATCCCTTTATTTGGCCAACAACTGCGAATAATGTATAAATAAAATGCTGCAAAGAAGCATACAAATAACAAAATCAGAGCAATTTTGTACACATACATATACATTGACGATTGAATCACGTACTCAGAACAACAAATTTCCATCATTTCAGTGACTAGTCGAGATTTAGCTCTTATGTAAATGTTTGCACAAAGCAGAGGTAAATTAATGCTTAAGAAGAGTAATTAACCATCATATACGGAGTAGGGGTTCCAGGGTAAAGCTTGATACGGATCAATGAACAATCCAAAGGAGGTTAGACCTCCGACAATCAAGCCCTTAGCCGACTAAAATCCGGGTCAATTTCGGTAACGTAGAACCGGCTATTGTGCGAATTGCCGCGTTGCGTAGCTTCGATCTGCATACTGTATTCGGCTGAATTCCCACATATCCAGAATTACTACTAAAGTACATTAAATTCTGAAAATATACATTTCTGGACTTGCAAATGGATATAAGCCCTGCAGCCTTCTTTATATATAGCCTAAACAACTTCAAGTTATGATTTTTCGAATATTTTTTTAGAGGAAAGTAGGCAATTCTTTTGTAGCTCTGATATGAAAAAAAGAATAAACCGTTAGAAGTTCATTGCTTTAGAAGAAACGCCAATTGCTACCAATTCTTACATCATTATAGGCTTATTTTTTTATAGAACCAGCAAATTGTCTGCATGGTTAGTACATCTCTCTATATGCGAATGTTTTTTTGAGTGCTGAGCGACGCAAAGTTGAGGAAAAACTAAAATTAAACATTTATTTTTAAATAATACTTCACCATGTTCGCAACTCACGCACACACACACACTAGTTAGTTGGTGTTTGTGTGGCAGTAGAAATTTTTATTTTATTTTTACTATTTGAAGATATTATTTCTCTAAACAGTGAAGAAGAATAAAAAAACTCAAAATCTTTAATTGGAAACTGATGGGTTCCCTTTTATATACCCAGAACAGGGGACATAAGTTTGTAAAACTTAAACTTGTCCTAAAAGGACCCTATTAAATAAATATATAAATAACGGGTGATTCAAGTGGAGTTACTTTCTTCAATAGCATTTTTTGACAGATCTCGCGTGAGTCGTGTCAAGCTGATATGTTATTTTTCTTCAGTATTGGCAGGTATTACATCATGGGAAGGCTTACTTAACCCTTATGCTTCGCTCAACTTATGGTTGAGCTGAGTATAATATTCGCAACACCATCACCCATCTTGAGACCAAGATTTCATTATTGTATAATAATCGACCTCGTATACCACGTCCAGCACGCAGTGAACAAAATATAGCAGCCGATGACCGTGGATAGGTGATTCGGTGCCTTTAGCAGCAAATCGGACTGTCGTATGGAACGACTTGGCGCATTTTACGAGTTAGCGAACAAAATACAGTTTGGGCAAGAACTAAAGCCGCTCGACATCACTTAGCTCTATGCTCTCTTGGAAAGTTCCAGAAAGATCTGACGTTTCCGAGCGAAACTTTCTTCTGCGATGAGACTCGTTTCAATGGGTATATAAACAAGCTGAATTGTCGCATTTTGACGAAGAGCAACCTAAAGAGATTCAAGAGCTGCCATTTCATCCAGAAAAAATAATGGTTTGTGTGGAATCATCGGCACATATTTTTTTTTTAAATGATATCGGTGAAAATGTATGTCAATGGTGACCGTTATCCATGGTAACCGACTATTTGATAACCGACATTTGGTTTCAATAAGACGGTGGCACGTCCCATACTACGCATCAATCAAAGGATTAATTGAGAGAATACTTCGGTGAGCAGATAATTTCACGTTGATTTTCCACCAAGTTGGTGTAATATCGCCCCAGTAGACTTTTTTTTGTCAGGATATGTAAAGTCTAAAGGATTTGCGAACAATCCCGCTTTGATTCAGACCTTGGAGCAAAACATCACGCTTATCGCCAGTTACTAGTCGAAATGCTCGAACGAGTGATTGAAAATGGGTGGACCATCTTAGACGTAATCTTCAAAAATTTAATGCAAAAGAATAATCTTTCGAATAATAATAAGCATTCTCCATTAAATTTAAAGATTCAATATATATGTACATAAACTAGTCCCTCAATTTTAGAAATATCGAAATTTTACTAACGTCCTATTTTCCTCAGGGAACTGCACATTTGTCGGAACTGCTGATATCGAATCCATATAGCATATTCATAGATGCCCTTAAAACTGATCGATCAAAATCCGTCAACTTATTTGCCACGAGTTATTGCCTAAAGCAAAAAATGAAATCCTGAAGAAATTTTTAGATCAGACTACTATAGCATATAGCTGCCACTCAAACTGTATTTGTGAAGGGTATTATGGCATGGGTGCAACTTCGTTTTTCTACTGTTTATATATAGAGTATTATACAACAGCAAAATTTCGGAAGTGGAACGGCTTTTTTATTTCAATTTTTGCATATAGTACTGCAATTTAGCAACGCTGCAAACAAATGCTGACACATTTCAATTATGAAATTTATAGCTTAAAAAAAATTCCCAAAATTTAATTTATTAGCGCTTGAAAGAAGTGGCTGCAGCATGCCAAACGTACACCAGCAAACACGCAACACCCCCCACGCCGCCGCATGCTGTGTGTGCAGCAACGCAAACGTCGCTAATTTAAATTAGAATTTTTGCGCGCGTTACCTCAATTATTGGTCAATTGCCAAAATCTATCGTAGTCGTGTGCTATTTTTAAGCGATATATTCATTCTAAATGAAAAATCACTTTCGAATACGTTTACGAAATTCTGCTACAAGCACACACACACATGCATATATGTATATATGTATTTATTGTATTCGTGCCATTTCCTCATTCACCGCACTTTCCCTTCTACATGCAGACAGCATACGCAGCAACAGATATAGAAGATAATGTTTTTGAACAGATTTAGAAAGTAAAACTTTTTGGAAGATTTTTGTTTTTGGCCTACGTTTGGCCTTACGTTGCGCACAGCAGTAGGGGTATACGCCCACACCCAACGCTTCACCAGCAACGCAACGCAAAGGCGCGAGCAACTAACGACCAGTGGTCAGTTGGCTGCTAGTCTTTTGTTGTTTCGGTGGCATTGCTGTTTGGCGTTGGCTGGCGGTGGTCTGCGCTCTGTTGCTCGCATTCAAATAATCAACACGAGCCATTTGTAGATTTTCGTGTAATTTCGCATTCATTTTGCACTCGATTCGCGTTCACATTAGTTCGCAGTTGTGTTTCGCATTACTTTCACATGATTTTAAATTAAAAATATTTTATTTTCTCATTTTACTACAAAAACCCTATGCCTCCGCAATTCTAATTCATGCCACGATATTTTTATTCGCTTATGCAAATCATAACTTTATTATAAATACAAACTGGGCTAAATTTAGTTCCTTTTCCCTACACGCGCTGGCATGCTTACATTCCCACATATGTATGTATGTACATACATAAGTGTGTGCGCATGTTTGTGCATGCGTGCACCTTCTTAAGACTTCAGCTACCGTTAAGACACACAAAGAGCGAAATTTTTATTTTAACCTTAACCTTATTTGGAAACGGCTTCAGCAGTCCAATTAGAGAGAAAATACATTTATTTAAAGTGTGCAAGTGTGTATGTATGAGAATATTTTGTGTGCATGTACGTACATATGTATGTACATATGTATAAAATGCTTTGCATTGGAAATATTTAAAAATAGCTTTATTTATATAATAAAGATGTTGAAGATCATTTGAATTTTGTTTTTGATCTCACACATTTATTTATTGTACGAGTTGAAGGACGAAGTTTTCTTTAAATTTGTGTGTGTTTGTTGTTTACATAATTTTGTAAAATGATGAAAATGTGTTGGCGTTGAAAGAATCGCGGTCTATTTATCATGATCAGCAATTAGTTGAAGAAACTATTTAAAACTGCAAATATACATAAATATATTTACATACAAATATATACATACATATATATATAAATACATACATATACATATGGGCTTTTTAAGCATGCATATACACATGCATATGTACATATAAGTTACCATGCGCACTTCCTTGAGCTTTGTTGACGCAAACGTCTTGGCTTTGGCGGTGGCCGCTAGATAGAATTGTAAACATTTCCACTTTCAACTGAAATATTATAATTAAATAGTCCGTGTATGCCTAACTAATTAAATATATTTAACTCGTATTCAATCCTTATCAAATCGCTGCCACAATTGGATTTATCCCACAAAAACTACTCTAAAGGCTTGAACTAAATATAACGGGGTTTTCAATCAGAGCGCTACAATGAAATTCGTTACTCCGGTGAAAATACATTCGATGACATTATGTATGGAACTAGATATATTTTGCATGGCCACCTAATTTTCGACGGGTTTCAAGCATAATTCGCCGATACTGCTCCAATTTCAATACTGATCATCATCAATCGTCACTGGTTTGTTGGCATAGACCATAGACTTGACGTAGCCCCACAGGAAATAGTCTAACGAAGTCAAATCGCACGTTTCGTGAGATAACCGTTCACCAAACTTGGTTTTCAATAAATTGATTGTGACATTCGGTATGTGGCTTGTAGCGCCGTGCAACCTCGTATTGTCCAAGTCCATATCATCCAATTCGGGCCAAAAATATTCGGTTATCCTTGAGCGATAAACATATATAGCCTACTTCGCCTGCAAACGAATACCTAACAGGAACTCGTGCCTTAAACCAAAGATAGTCATATGGATGTACATATACGGCCGTGATTAGATCAATTCTAACATATGGAGCACTTGCTTCCTGGCCAGCATTAAAGAAAGATAATAATATCCTTACCGAACGATGCGCTTAATATGCTTCTGCATCACCGGCCCATATATGAGTTCACTTGAAACGTAGTCGGAAGTTCAGCCTTAAGGATAGAGGAATTAAGAAGGTGGAACAGGAAAGAATATGACTTTGCGCCATTCTGTACCAGCTTAAGCTAGGTAAATCAGAATATATCCTCATCCAAGATAAGTTTTTAATGCTCACTTTCGGGTGAGGATACCCTTTAGATCTATAGGGGAGAAAGATACTACTTCTATCTATAAAGACGGGTCCAAAATGGACTACGGAGTATGAGCATGAGTATACTCCAATGATCTAGACATCTCTGTCTCTATCTGCCTGTAGAATTCAGTCAGCATCTTTCAAGGGGAAGTGCTAAGTATAGAGAAGACCTGTAGTATAAGTATAAGTATGTAAGTATATTGAATAACCCCGGAGAAAGACACGGAAAGTAATCATATACACGGATAGCCAAATAACGATACTGCCTTTACTGCAATGAAAGACAGACGAGTTGGCAAAGACAGAATGCTCTTTAGACGAACCAGAAGCGGAGATTAATATCACGCTTTATATGCATACATATATTTTGTACAATTAGCTCAGAGCGGATGGAAATCAAAAACATCATGCAAGATAACAAAACAGATGTGGCTTAAGTATGACAAAAATAGAACCAAGGACTTTTTAAATATAATATACAGGACTATATACAGGCACTGATCCTTTGTGGGGCTGATATAACAATATTTGCTACAGTTTTTTGCTAGAAGGGAATAAGAAAACGATTTTAGACTTTATCTGAATGCCCAGCTTTATCATGAACCCGATACAAAATACTAGAAACACATCAGGGCATTAGACCTAGAATAGTTTTCCAAAAAGAGCATAAGTAGTTTCATCGAGAGCACCAAATGGTTTGAGAGTTACGTTGAAACGAGAGAGTCAAAGAAACTAAAAGTACCTAATTGAGCCCATATGGGCAGTACTTTTACCAACCTACTTTACCTATTTTTTCAATGATTTCTATATTTTTTTAATCAAAAACAAGAAAAAACGTTAACTTCGGCAGCACCGTAACTATCTGTTCATTTATACATATGTATAGTAATGTGATCTGGACAATTTTGTCGGAGATTATATTTTTACCTTAAGCAGTAATCCATGTCAAATTCCGTGAATATACCACGTCAAATGCAAAAATTTTCCATACAAGAACTTGATTCTGATCGTTCAGTTTGTATGGCAGTTACATATATGCTTTAGTAAGCCGATCTATTTCTTCTTCTTCAATTTCTTCGTATATTACATTATTACCTTAGAAAATAACCTGTGCCAACTTTTGTGAAGAAACATTGTCAAATGTGAAAGTTTTTCATACAAGAACTTGATTCCGATCGTTCAGTTTATATGGTAGCTATATGTTATTGTGGTCCGATATCAGTTGCGACAAATGAGCAGCTTCTTGAAGAGAAAATGACGTTTGCAAAATTTCAAAACGATATTTCAAAAACTGTGGGACTAGTTCGTATATTTACAGACAGACAGATGGATATTGCTAAATCGACTCAGCTCAACATACCGATCATTTATATAGTACATATGTATATACTTTCTGGGTGTTACAAACTGCGTGGGAAACTTAATATATCCTGTTCAGGGTAAAAAAAAAAAACTTATTGCAACATTAGGAGTAAAAAAACACAATTTTCCATGGTCTCAAACAAAAATAAACATTAGATTTGATAAAAGAAAAAATCAAAAATTAATTAATAATTAAAAACATTCGAAATAATACACAAGAAAAATGGGCTGATGTATTGCTCCCATATTGAGTCGGTTTTATTATAAAAAATAGTCAAAAATTTTTTTTTCTATTTAATTCGAGTCTTCACTTTTTAGCAAAAATTAATAAATCACTCAAGATATTAAAAAAGTAACAACATAATGAATAAATTTAAATAAATTTAAATAAACCGAAACACAGATCTTGCTACCACCTTACAAGACAACCATCAAACAGTGTAATGAACGTATTTGTGTTTAAAAAAAAATTTTTCTTTTCTGCATGACGCACGTAGTCCAACCCAAACGTCATTTCACCCACACAATTTCCGAACGTTTATTTTCACTATTTTCTATATCTACCATTTTAATTATTTTATAGAAATCGCCAGTAAGTCTATTCTAAATTCCTTAAACGTGCGTTAACGCTTTTTAAAGACAAAACAAAAAACCTCAAATAATTTCTTATACTATGTACATGTAAGTAAATATGTATGTGTGTGTGTTTACCTTATTGTGTGGCAGTACAATGAATGCTCCGCCGCCAGCGGACTCCACAATGATTGCCAAGAATTTCGGATTCACCGCACAGAATGTTGAGTCCCAACTGCTTTTTGAGACGCGTATATTGTCGTAGCATTGCTCACGTTTCAGTGCCTGACCGTAGACGTGACGAAATTTCGAACTTCGTACAACGCGAAATGACATTTTTGTTTTTGGTTGCTCTTAGTTTACTGCTCCTCTACAGTTGCTGTTGCTACTATGAGTACTACTACTATGTATGCTTACTGTAGTAGTTGTTGTTGCTGTCTTAGTGGTATTTTACCGCTTTTACTTAGGATTACTAATTATTATTTATTTATTTTTATTTATTTTTTTTTTGTAGCAAAAACTTAATATTTTTTCAATTCGCCTATTTTGTTTTTATTTTGCTTTGCATTCGCGTTTTGCTGAGTTAGTAATTGGCAACTTTGTTGTTGTTGTTTTTTGTTTGTTTGTTTTTGTTTCAGTTCTAACGGAAATGTTTGGATTTCGAATCGGTGTTAGTCGTCGTCGTGGTTGTTAACTTGGTTTATTTATTTGTGAATTCTCGATTCTTGACGCTTGACGATTGATGTTGCTCGATTAGTTAGTTTCGTGCTTTTATTGTTGCTATTGTATATATATATATTTGCAGTTATGTATTGTGTATTTATGCTATTTGATCTGAAGTTGACTTTGTTTGGTTTACTGTTGCTACAAGGCTTTGCTACTGCTTGTCAACGCGATTTCTTCCTTCATTCGTGCACAACACACTTTTTGACGTGTCGAATCTGCCAATTAGAATGAAAAACTATAAGGTAACTGCTGTTAGATTAAATAAATATATTTGTTTACAGATAAAACTCCGATAGTGTATTTACTATAAACAATTTAGAGAAAAAATGCACTCTTGTGTTTATTTAATAGTAGCGCTCAACTTCGATATTTATTTATTTTTATTATATGTATGTATGTATATATATCTTTTAATGTTTAAATATACATTTACCACATTTTCCTCGTTGATTTGTGCTGTTATAGGGTGGCGAGGGAAAAACGATATAGTAGAAAATACTGATATTGAAACAAAATTTGAATTTTGGTTATAAAATGGTTATATATTGGTTATGCCATGGTTATATATTTGTTATATTTGACTGAGCTGAACATTTTATGCTACACATACAGCTGTTGACAACTAATTAGAAACGCTCCCTTCATTGCAGGTGGCTTTATTTAATACTAAATGCGCTGAGTTTTTTAGTTGTGGATTTGAAGTTGTTTTATTTTTTTTTTTTCCAAATAGTTAATGCGTTTCGATATAGAAGGTGAATTAAGTGCGACATCTAATTAGAAACAGTTCTTTAAAGAATTAAAATTCCTTCTCGTGCTAATTTTTGTTACTAATATTATTGATTTCTGTTAAGGATGTCTTTCAAAGTTGTGGTTTAAAATATATAAAAATGTCTTATTCAAGGAGAAAAATCTGCAGCTGTACACCTACCATTCGCAGCTACATATTTGACTTTCGTGAGTCTGGAAAGACGTACAAAGAAATTTTGACTCAGATCAATAAAATCGTTTTCAATGCCCTTAAGCATATACAGAATTTTAAAACTATTTCCGATGTTACAAACAAAGAATAACCTTAAAAACTTCAACAGAAGGCGGCTGAACTACTACCATCGTCCGAAGAGGTCCAAAAACGAGTTCCACTGACATTCTACATAAAACTTAAGGCGAATATAATGGCCAAATATCCAACAAAACTTCCCGGCGTTTGGTTGAATTTGGACTTCACGACAGGACAGCATGCATGAAACCACTTCTGACTAGAATTCAAAGTAAACAATGCGTAGACATTTCAGGGATTGAACTAAAATTATTCGCATCGATTCTGATGGTCTGCGGTATATTCGCCGACCAGTCTATCAAGAATTTAATCCTCGCTATGTTTCACGCGTGGTGAAGCATGGTGGAGGATCAACCATGGTGTGGGAATGTTGTAGGTCCGTTCCATACGATTGATGTAATTTAAAAAAAAAGTGATATACGCCGACATTCTAAAAAAAATGTCATTCTGCCATGAACTAGGGAGGAATTTGCCTGTTATATGGAAATTCCAACAAAATAACAACAACAACAACAACAAGTGGAAAGTTTGTTGAAAATACCCGGAATGTTTTTTAGTGGCTTGAAGAGAACACATCTCTGTTGACGTCAAAAAAGCTGCAAGTACCAAAAATATCACAAATATCTATGTCCTTTTTGATGAAATTAGGACGGCAATGCAAGCAACACAGTATTTTTTGCTTATAAAATATTTTCGTTTCTAATTATCTGACGCACTCAAATCGTTGATTCTACACATTTTTGTTAAAATCTTAAAAAAACAAAGATTTCTAATTAAAATTTTTATATTTAGAGTTTAAGTTTAACGTAAGTTTCAATAAAGTGAGTGAGAAACCAGAAAAAATAAGTGATTTATTGGAAAATAACATAATTTACTTCTTAATATGTGTCGTTTCTAATTAGCTGCCAACAGCTGTATGTATAGGTATAAGCTCAACTTCAATTTATTTGATGTTGCGTTGTTTTTAAAACTTTTTAATCTTTTTTTCTATAGAAAAATCGTCTATGCTTTTCCAATTATAGAAACGCCCATTTGCAAAACTCAGTGTCAAAATATCGTTAGTGACCGCAAAGTTGTAATTTATATATCGTAATCGATATGTATGCCATACGAAAGGCCGTAACCTACGACAATTTTCCCGTAAAAAATTTAACAGCACAATCGTACACACAAACGCAATACAGTTGGATGTGTATGACAGCTTGCTAATTAAATCTTTATTACTTTTATGCCAGCTTGAAAGATGATATGCTTAATTTTCAAGTGTAAAAAATTAATTTTCAGAACTTCCTAACTGAATCGCTGCTAACGCAATCAGGGAATTCTTACAGGGAGGTCTTACAGCATGCCATCTGTGTCTCAGCTACGTTGTCGAGCAACTCTATTTCTACCTCAACTCGAGATCGTATTTGCAATAGATTCAGGAATATTACATGCTTTATACCCAAAAAACTAATCAAAATGATCGTCCTTTCTTTTTCGATGACTTCACGACCTTCACTGAATGTTTTATGCTATTCAAGCACTCGAGTTCTTAATATAGTAGACTCCCAAAAACATGTCTGCAACATTTTTGAAGATTCTGTAGCTGTGTTGCTTCACGCACAAAATTTCAATCAATTTAAATGGGCCAGTCCGGGTCAAATTTGATCATATCATATCTTGATTAGAATAATTTCCTCAAAAATACTATATAAATAAGATGATTTTTTTTTCTTAAAAAAGTAATTAATTTCTTCGTCAACTCTTCAAGGTCAGTGAAATCATAATCGCTCTTTAAATTTCGTCAAATACTTTTGTGCTTGATAAAGTAGACTTCCAAATATATGTCTGCAAAATCAATTTAAATGGGCCAGTCCGGGTCAAATTTGATCATATCATATTATGATTAGAATAATTTCCTCAAAAATATTATATAAATAAGATGATTTTTTTCCCTTAAAAATGTAATTAATTTCTTCATCAACTTTTCAATGTCAGTGAGATCATAATCGCTCTTTAAATTTCGTCAAATACTTTTGTGCTTGATAAACTCCAAATAAGACTCCAAAAACACTTCTGCAACTTCTCCAAGATTCTGCAGTTGTGATTCCACACACACAAAATTTTAATAAATTTAAATGGGCCTGTCCGGGTCAAATTTGATCATACGGTATTTGCAATCCCACAACTCGTAATTTAGAATAATTTCCTCAAAAATATAATAACAATAAGTTGGTTTGCTTTTTTTAACAAAATTAATTAATTTCTTTGTAAATTTTTCAAGGTCAGTAGAATCATAAACGCTCTTTAAATTTCCTGTTCTGGCAGAAATGATAGTTTCTATATTGAAAAATAAAACATCGAAAATAAAGTGTTCCGATTTAAGTTTACAAGTTTTCGGAAATAAAGCTTTCAACACGCGCCTGTTATACCATACATTCTGTTTCTATTTCCTTGTGTATATACTATGTACATTTCAGTTGCCGTTAAAACGGAAGTGGCGCAATAGCAACACTATAATTTCTGACGAACAATTTGATGAGTCAATATGTATTTAAAGGAAATTTTGTCACAATTTCTTTTTCAACACAACTCGTACATTTTTTGGACCTTCGATAAACGGATAAAGTCAAAATAGCAAAAAGGCGAAGAAAAAAATATTAAAAACAATATTATTTATTTAGCATAACTTTTGAATCCATAAACAATAGGAATATTTAAGCAAAAACCTATAGTTTTTAACTCTTTTAATATTACTTATTATTCTTTTTTCCTACATACATACATACATATGGACTTAGTATGTATTTATGTTGTTTGTTAAGCGTTAACCCACTTTATTAACGCTTAACACGGACGGTCTAGCGTGTTGCCATAATTTTTGTTGCGCAAACAACGCATTCAAAGATATTTAGTCAATGGGCTGGTGTCATATGTATATACATACATACGGTATATAAGGTAAAAACCATAAAATTTTGGTTATTCAATAAATTTGGTTGACACAGTTCGATAGTTTAAATTGTGTGTGTATAGGGAGTTGCTGATGTTTGTCCACACAGATAACGACAACCACTGTGCTTGACTGCCAACGATAAGTCGTGGGTTCAAATCTTATGCTTTATGCCTTGGTTGGATAACATCAAAATGTTAGCGTGTCCATACATATTTACATACATACATATGTAAACGGTTAAACAACAGCAGATTGTAGTAAATCTGCATTCACTGTCTGCCGTCTGTTTTTATAATGAGATAAGTCAATCGCAATCTACGCTTTACAAATCATAACTGTATGTGCGCTTAGCATTCAAGAAATAATACATAACCAAGATAAGTATAATAAAGAAAATAATAACATTAGTCGACTCTTATACGGAAGTCGATAAAAGTCAGCATTGGCATTTAACGACTGCATACTGTTCTTGTTCTAAGATAAAGCACACTTTTCCACTTCATACATATGCAACAAGTCTGACATTTACACATAACTGTGTGCGGCACGACTTTATTATGTACGTATGTATGTATGTACGGCTACTGATATAAAATTCTGACATTTAGCACGAGAATGTAGCAGACAGTGAAACCAAAATGCACTTGCAAGCAATAGATTAGGGTGTATTTTTTTTTGTTTTTGAACTATTAATTGTTTTCAATTCCCTCACGAAATTTCCTTGGAAATACCCTAAAAAAACCCTGAAAATTTTAGTCCTTAATATTAAAATATTTATACAAAAATTTTCCATAGAAAATACACTACAATCGTGAGTTTTTATCTCAAATTCCTACAGATCAGAGATATTTTATGGCATCGCTTTCACTTTAGACGCATATTTCTCAGAATTGTTCACTCTACAAAAGTGCCCAGTGCAACAAAGTCGTAACACACACCGGCGAGGTAGTACGGGGCTCTAAACCCTATTTTTCCACGAATTGCGCATATTTTTGTAAATATCTTGTAAATGACAACAGCTATAGAAAAAATGTACATGACAACATTTGTAGGAAATTTTATTTGCTATAAAAAAGATTTGAGGTCAGAATCGCTATTTTTAATACTTCTCGAGATATTCAGCTTTTTAAGTAAGGATGTATGCAATTTTCATAGATTTTTTAAAACATACCATCTATAAAAAATCTAGTTTACTTAAAAGGCCTAATTTGGGAAATTTT